GAACAAATTTTCTCATGTATTTCAGGATATGAACTAGCCTGAGTTCTAAGCCATAAGCAAGCTGAGATTTCTGATGGCAGCTAGTAAGTTACAGCATGCTTTTCTAAGGAGAAAAAAAATCCCTTATTAAAGAGTTACAAGGCTATGAACTTATATTAACATGGAAAATTGAGGCAATTGTGGAATGCGTTGTCTGTTATACATGATATTGATACAGATAGTGGGGCCTTTTTCTGGTGGACATGATCTGCTTATAGTCTGTACACACTGGATAAACTATGATATACACACATTGGAAAGCTTTTGGAAAAGGATAGCGGCATTGAGATTGAATCTATAGAACAGAATTTTCTCACATGGACAGCTACATGGACTAAGCAAGTGTCAATTCTCTATTTGCTTTTTTAAAAGAATTTTCTAGACCCAACTGCAGCTAGAAACTTAAAGGTGGATGGCAGAACCAGCCCAATCTTTCCAATATTTTTGTATAAAGTACTTAGAAAGTTTAAGCAAGAACCTTTTTTTAACCAAATTCTCCAGATAAATTAATCCATCTTCCACTTCACTAAAACTTGCTGAGGGAACCAATGCAAACTTTTATAAAAAAGACTCAGAGAAAAAGGAATCAAAAGAGAGCTGGAGATGTAGAATTAAAAAGAAATAATCATCTGAGTGTAGAGTAAAAGGAAAGGAGGAGACAACACTCAAGAGTGATAAAGTAGGCACTGAATAAGGACTTAGGTTTCTGCTTTTTAAGCAATGAAAGAATGAATGAAGTAGGAGCTGGGACTGGCAGTGTCCCGAGGATGTTGAGAGCTGGAGAAATGTGGTCAAAGGGGTAGGTAAAAGTATATAGTCAGAGTAGGGAGCATTCCTCCTACTCCTCATTTCCTGGCCCCATGACTTCTGAAGAAAAGCTAGGGCAGAAGCCACCAACGAACACAGCTTGTTTTGCTGCTGATGAGTCACCATGCTTTCGGCCTCAAAAGGATGTCCTCTTATGTAGCCATGGCCACCCAAGGCTGGATCGGGCCCCTCTCCTTTGAACAAGGTAAAGGAAGGGGAAGCCTCAACAGCCTGAATGTTGTTCTGCTTCCAGTGTGTGCAAGTGAGGCCAGGGCAGACGACGGTGGTGTCCTGAGACGCTGGCTCCAAACCATGGGGGAGGCAGGCTGCAGAATCCCCCACCCACACAGCCAGTATGAAATCATCACATGGCTCTGAGCAACATTTTTAAAAGAAAATATATATTTCTACAGCTGCAAGCATCCTCTTTCACAATTTTTCTGGCCTAATAATTTTAATTTTAAAAATTCAACTATTTATACTCTTTCTCAACCTACAAGGAATGTAAAGCACCTCATAAAACATGTACAGCATGAAAATATTTTTTTACATTAAAAATGAGGACCAGAGAAAATATAAAATAGAACTGAAAGTCCAGCCTAGGGGGGAAGTAAAATACTCTCATCACAGTGTTCTAAAGAGTTCTCAAAGTCAAGCAGTAAACTTGGCTTTGTGTTAACCTAGCAGTCAAAGAGAAAAGAGAAACAGAACCAGTTACATGATTTTCATGTCCAAGAGGAGAAAATATTTCAGTTCCTCAGGGGAAGCAAACCTTTTCCTGGAATTCAGCTCTACAAGAATTTCCTCACATAGGCTTCATATAGGAAATCATGAATAATGTAGTGGAGAATACATAAAACCACACCCCTACCATGGGCTTCATGAGACTGTTCCTGGTAAAATGTCTTTAGGGAAATCAAGGGCATACGCTTCAATTAAAACATTCCATTAAAATGAAGACAGCTCAGACCAAGTACACATCTTTCTTACAGTTCAGTTTCACCTAAGATGCAAGCTTTGACTATCCTAAGGGACAAATAAACTCAGTCCCTCAAACAGTCTTCTAGTTATGCACATCTACCAAAAGGACTGAACTTACTACTCAACCAAGGGACATTTACTAGACAAGACTTTCTTAATCTCCCTTGCTATTTTCATGTTTTGTAAAAACTATTTCTATTGCAATAAAATATATATAAATGTCTTCTATTTTTCTTAAATTAATTTTTTTTTTTTTTTTTTGTCTTTTTTGTCTTTTTTCCGTGTCCGGCAACGGATCACAACC